ACTAATTCGAAAAAGGCGATTTAATATTACTCTCTATATATGAATATTAAATAGCAGAGACTTAATATAAAGTTTACGGATAAATAGCTTAGCTTATTTAAAGTAGAGGAAGTAATAGGCTCTTATAGATTAGCTTATAAGCTAATATTACTTTTATACTATAAAATCTATAACGTTTTATTAATCTCTATATTAGAGACGTATTATTTAAGGGATAGGGTAAACCCTAAAGAGCTATAGTTATTATTAACTATCTTACTATAAGAGGAAGAACCCTTTTACGTAATAGAGTTAATCTAAAGGTATAAGGGACTATAATAGAAAAGATAATACTATATCCGATAAAAAGGATATAGTATAGAGGACGATTCTTAGGAATTTATAGATAATATTAGCGATAATTTAATAAAGGATTATAAATAACGGATTAAGGAGCTATAGAGTATAATAAAAACGAACTTAATTTAGGCCTAGAGGCTATTAGCTTAATATATAATAATAGAATAAAGTAAAATACCTAAAAGTATACATTTTAAAAAATAACTTAATAATAACGTTATTATAGAGCGGATTAATATATAGAGTATAATAAGGGAATTATTATAAGGACTTATAGCTAAGATAGTAAAGGAAGTAGCGATAGACTCTTAAGTATATATAGTACGCTCTACTTAGTCTATAGAATAATTATTTATAGGAATAAGAGCTAGGGCTATAGTATTAACTATAGTTATAGAAGTTATTACTTCCTCCCCCGCTTCTTTTATTTCTTCTTCTTCTTTTTTTTCTTCTTTTTCTTCCTCCTCCTCGACCTCGTTATCGTTAATAGTAGCGGTAGTAATAGCGTTGGTAATAGTAGTAGTATAGGCCTAATAATAAGCGTAATATAGGCTAGAGATTATAGTCTCTATTATAGCCTCGAACGTAGCGAGTAATTAATTAATTAGAAAGCCCTTACCCTCTATAACTATTAGATTCCGCTATATTATACTAAGCTATATAATAATAGCGCGGGTATTAGTATAATTAAGGACTTAGAATAACGTTAATATAATAGCGTAAAGCTAGTTAACTATAGAGTACTAACCTCCTAATACTTATACTTACTATAAACGTACTCGGAGTACGAGGTAGCTATAGCGGCCCCTTCCTAGTTAAAGTAACTAGCGGACTAGCGCTATACGATATAGGATATATAGAGCGTATAGGGTACCTCGCGCTCTATATTATCCCGTAGCTAAGCGGCTAAGTAGTACTATAGCTACTCGATCTCCTTCTCTTTAGCTTAATTAAGAATATAGCCCTCTAAGGCCTAAGTTTAAATCCTCTTTTACTCCTCTAGAGTAAAATAGTCTATCTATCTATAAAAAGTTAATATAATATATTATAGGGCGAAAGCTATAGAGTATATATAATTATAGTAATAATAATAGTATTATAGTTACTAAATAACCTATTAATAATAGAATAATATCTTTATAATTATAAGATTTACTAATTCTTTAATTTTAATATTAAAATAATAAGGAAAATACTATAGGTTAATAAACCGAAATAATAAAGAAGCGCGGACTAAAAAGGATTTATAAATAGTAAATAGTAGAGGGCTAAAGAAAGAGAGTTAGAAATAGGCTATAGTAAAACGCTAAAAATCGATTAATAGGGCCTCCTTCTAATTTACGTAGACCGGCTAAGTAGCTACGAGAGAAGGACTCTACTATAGAGCTACGGGTATAATATAGGGTAATAAGAGGAAAGCTCCGGAGTAAGGCTATTCCTACCGACTCCTAAGGACTAGGAGTCCTAGAGGGGGGGATTATATTAGGACCCCTACGGAGCTACTAAGGGCCTGCTATGCTAAGGGGCTAGCTAGGGGGCTAAGGGCCTGGAGAGAACGTATATATAGGCTGCGGAGGGCCCCCTAAGCTGCGGAGGGCCAGAATTCAGATGTATTCCTATCCTATACCTATATTCTATCTATCTGCGGACCCTGTGGAAGACCCCTTCACTCTGCTCTAAACAACGCTCTGACAGGTAGAGTGATCATCATCGTTATCAACCTTGCTGATCAAAACATGCTGGAAGACACTGCCTTGACTTTTCCTTGATTGACATGTCTGCTATCTTCACTGGGAAAGAGCCGGCACTGGACCAGGCCAAACGAACGGGCCTCACAGCCCCATCGTGGCATGAACCTAATCTTACCTACCTGATGAGAGTGAGAATCTATGGCTTGAGGTTGATCTCGACGTCCCGCACTTGCCCTGCCGTGGCTGTTGCTCTCCGCGAGAGTCGTAAAGACGTAAAGGTCCGCTGTCGACCATGGTTACTTCATAATGACGAATGAATCATGAGGAATAACAATAAAGGGTATGTCAGGCCTCGTGTGCCGTAGCAAGGGCGACGTAGAGGAGGTATTCAAGGACTCGTCAAGGTCACGATTCCGCTGTGTATACTTTGGCAAGGCGACGTTGCGCAACATGCCATCTCTGGATCTCTTCTCGGCTTCAATACATCGTCTGCTAGGTTCCGATGAGAAATGATTCTCTTCTATCTCTATCTATTTCGAAACATAATGATACGTTGCTCATGAATACCATCATGAGAGGCACTTTTCCGATACAAAAATGACGAAGCCCACGTCAGCTGCCCGCAGCTGCCAAGACCTACACACGCGGCCAGTACGTACCGATGGCAGCGATGAGCTCGTGATTGGGCGACGCTTAACCAGCGAGCAAGAGCTCCTGACGTAGCCCCTCCTTCTTCGTGTTGCGAGGCTCTAGCTCGCCATCTCGTCGTCGCCTTGATCGTCGCCCGCCTGATCGTCATCATCATCAATTTCACTGCAACACCTGCATGTCCGCCTCTTCTTCACTGCATCCATCAGTCAATATTGTCCCGCAAACCTCACTCCACCTGTTGTATCCCTCTCCCCCAACCTACCATCATCTGCCTCACACAGTGAAACCCCGCAGTCGCCCTGTCATCGCGGGCCAGACTCCCCTGCTCATCGCACAATGGCGTCGATCCTCACCTCGGGCATGGCAAAACTGAACCCCTTCGCGGCCCGCACCCACGAGGACGACACAGAAGACGACGGCGAGGAGGTAAGCAACGGCACCCTTGCCGGCGGAGGCCACGGTGCTCGCGACACGGCCCTCAAGCACAACCTCCGCGTCAGCCATGCCCTCAAGGCCTATATTGCCGAGCACGGCATTCTGCCCGCGAGCGATGTTGACCTCGAGACCGAAGATGTCGTCGGGCCAGCTCTTCGCGACCTCATCGTGCGACCGCACATCAGGGTTCCCGCCGACGTCACCGACAGATCCTACCCGCTGCCAGACTATTTTGTCAGCTCGAGCCACAACACGTACCTCCTGGCACACCAGCTGTACGGAAACTCGTGTGCGACGGCGTACGAGACGGCCCTCAAGGCGGGGATCGCGCTGCGTAGAGATTGACGCTTGGGACAACAGTGACAACAAGGATGAGCCAAAGGTCACACACGGCTGGACGTTGACCTCCAACATTCCCTTCCGCGCCGTCTGTGAGGCCATTCGCGACGTGCACGATGAAGAAACAGAGGAGGCCAGAAAACACACCGAGGCCGGGATGGAAGGCGGCTCCCATCATCCTTTCCCTCGAGAATCACTGTGACGCCCATGGTCAGCGTCGTCTCGTCGAGATTATGAAGGAGGTCCTCGGCGACCGCCTTTTGAGCGAGGCCATCCGCGAAGAGGGCCACCGCGAGCAGGAAGGGTCCGGCGAACACGTCACCCTCGCCGAGCTGGGATCCAAGATTGCCGTCATTGTCGAGTACCACTACCCCGACGAGAAGGAGGACTCGGACAGCAGCAGCAGCAGCAGCGATGACGACGACGAGGCCGAAGACGAAAAGGCCGCACGCAAGGTCTGGCACGAGAAGAAGCACACGGCCGCCCCCTCCGCCGTCATCATTCCCGAGCTGTCGGCGCTCGGTGTCTACGCCCAGTCGGTCAAGCCGCCGAACAACTCGTGGTTCGACCCTGGCGGCCAGTTTGTCGGCCCCCACCACCACCTCATCAACGTGTCCGAGTCGGGCCTCGGTGCCCATCTGCCGGCGCAGAGCACCCACATTGCCAATCACAATGCCCGCCATCTCATGCGCGTCTACCCCAAGGGCACGCGCATCTCGTCGCGCAACCTCAAGCCCGTGCCCTTCTGGGCTGTCGGCGCCCAGATCTGCGCCCTCAACTGGCAGACTTTTGGCGCCGCCATGCAGATCAACGAAGCCCTCTTCAGCGGCACCGATGGCTATGTCCTCAAACCGCCCGCCATTCGATCGGGAGGCGACGGACAGCTCACCGACAAGCGCCGCAAGAAGAAGCTGCGTCTTCACGTTGCCGGCGCCTCGGACGTGCCGCTCCCCGACGGTCGCGCTCCTGACGACATCAAGCCCTACCTCACCTGCACCCTCGTGCACCCAGACGACCTGACGAGCAAGCCGCCCAAGCGCAAGACGGCCGGCTACAGGCAGCACAAGCTCGGCTTCCTGCACAAGGACGGCAAGAACCCGCCCGCCAACGACCCCGTCTGGGACGAGGTGCTCGAGTGGGAGTACGACGACAACCCTCTCGTCTTTCTGCGCATGCTCATCAAGAGCGACGACTCGTGGGCGTCGAACCCCATCTTTGCCGTCGCCGCCGTGCGCCTGCTCTACGCCACGGGCGAGTGGAACTTCATCCGCATGCTCGACCTTAAGGGGCAGGAGACAAAGTGTGCGCTGCTCGTCAAGATAGAGATTGTCGACGCCAAGGATGGGCTGGGCAAGTTTTTCGGCAAGGACTGATTTAGGGGGGCTGTGCATGGTTAGGATACGAGTCACGAGTTACGGCCGACGTGGTGAAAATGAAATGTCTCTGCAGGAATCGGTTTGAGGTGTTGCTGCCTTGTGAATTGTGACTGAGTGTAAGCTTTTGTTGAAGTGCCGAATACTTCATTGCATTCTTCATTGATGTCGAGGCCAGTCGTAAGAAAGCAGTGAGCACCTGTTAAGTTCCCTTTCTAATCTGGTGCGTAGATCGCATGGAGTGATTCGCCAAGACGACCGCCTGCATCCGAGTCTAGGAGAAAGGTCACAGCATCCTCGAGTATGGCCCTGCCATGGTTGTGGAGGCCATCTTTTCATATGCTCGGTCAGATGTGAGAGCTATTGGGGACAGTAATAGCTTGACTTCTCTTCCGAGTCATGGAGCTGCTGCGAAGGCTGGGGTTTAGAAGGTCTCAGAGCTTTGGATTGGGCAGACTGAGAAGGTCATCCGCACTTGAGGATCCACAGCAAATGGATACGTACAGATCAAGATACATCACGATTTCAGCACTCTGCAACCGTTTTGTACACGTTCTAGTAGCCCATGGGCCCTGTCAGGCGACCCTACGGAGCCGCCAAGCAGGGCTTCGGCCAGGGACAAAGGGTTACGAGAAACGTATACTGAGAGACTGAGGAGGGCCAGAACTCAGATGTGTTCCGACCCCCTACCTATTTTCTATTGCCTACGGACCACGTTTGGAAGACCTCTTCACTCTGCTCTCAACCACGCTCTGACAGACCCTAACTGGCCCCCTGTTCCAAGGTTCCGCAGTGGCTTCATCACACTCTTCGAGTTGAAGATCATCTGGCCGGCGACTTGTATATTGCTAGACTTTGCGATGTAATCGAAGGGAATTATGCGCAGACAAACGAGGCTCCCATGGATGCAAAGCAATATGTACGTGAGGTAGCACCGCGCCAACCCTCCTCATGCGGAAGGGCCAGGTGACTGTGCTGCTGAACAACCTCGACACGGGGACACAGCAGTTGTGTGGTGTTGTGTAACCCCCGCTGCAGATGGACAATGATGGAGGGTATGATAACGCTCCCAGCCTCCCAGTCGGAGGTCGCGTGTCAAGTTTTGCACGGAGCAGAAGTGCAGGAATACGAACCAATCAGTACAGATGGCAGACCGGACTCACCTTTCCAAAGGCCTCACCATTTCCGGGCTATATACGAGCCTACCAGTGTGCACCTTGCTCCAGCCACCAACTTGGTGCTGACTAGTGTGCCGCACGTGTAATCGGTGTATACGGAATTCGAGGCGCACGGGGTTTATAAGTATCCCTCCATCAGGCTGTCTCTTGCGGATGTCTGGTGTCATTGCTTGACATCAATTCATAATCTTTTGCTGCTACAAGATGACCGACGGGCCAGCTAATCCCCAACACGCTCGGACTTTCCTTCGATACGCCATGCGTTACCAGCCCCGAAAGCCCTTGGCCCGGCGAATGTCGGCATCGCCGACGCGTCTTATCACACACAGTGCAGCTACGTCTCTCCTCCTCCCAGCAAACGAGCAGCTGTCAACCACGATCGAGAGCCCACGCAAGTCCAATGTTCAACGCTTGAAGCAACACGCATGGCTCCGAAGTTGGTGGTGGTGGTGGGAGATAGCCGGTTGCATGGTCAGCATCATAGGTTGCGGCCTGCTGTTCATGATGCTCGGCTCTATCGACCAGTCGCCGCGGTTGTCGTGGCATGGGTTTCTAAACATCGAGCCCAACACTTATATTGCCATCATAGCCACCGCCTCACGGACCGCGATCACGGTCCCCATCTCATCGTGTCTCAGCCAGCTGAAGTGGCGGCACTTCCAAAATCGTGCTCACAGCCTAAACCATCTGGACCTCATTGACAAAGCGAGCCGAGGACCATGGGGTTCCCTCCAGGCCCTCTTCATGTTAGGCAAGGCAAACATGGTCATCTCACTGCTGGCTATCACGACCATCCTCTCGCTCGCCATCGGTCCGAGTGTGCAGCAGGTCCTGGAGATTCACACACGGGAGGCTATAGACTATAGTCGTGTTCCTCTGCTGGCATACGCTACAAACTACACATCCAAAGTCTTGTATATGACCCAAAGTAAGTCTTGGGGCTGGGCACCGGTGAGGAGGCGAAGTCTCTGACGTTTGTGCAAGACGATTCAGCAGCCCTTGAGGGAGTGGAGCCTATGAGTCGCCTGCAATTTGTCTCGAATATGATACGCGGGATAACTAAAACTGTAACAGTGCTGAGTTCTCTCTGCATTGGCGGACCGTGCCGGTGGCCAGAATACACGACACTGGGTATGTGCGTAAGCATCGACAACGTTACCGACAACACAACACGCACCTGCAGCCCCATTGTGCGGCAGGCGTCGCCACTCACATCTGGGGAGCCGATTCAAGACAGCGCCATATGGGAAGTAAACTGCACCTACAACATTCCAGAGGACACCTATGATATTCTAGTGTTAAGTGAGGAAGCAAGAGACCACACCCCATATCGGTCTAACGTGAGCTGGGTCTTCCGTGGCTTGGCGAATAGCCAAGAGGAGGAGCTGCCGAGCCCCGTTCAAGACCCTCTGTATTTACAAACCAAAGCCTATCGTGGTCTTGCAAATCTGACGCAGCTTTCGTCGGGACAAGATCAGGGAAAACCGATTCGCACGATAGTGGCGGGCGCAGATATCCTGACCACTAGGTCAACATCCTTTTCCACCTCTGTAGGGCCGCCTGACGTTGAGGTCCACCGTGTTCTTTTCTACTATTGCGCTAAAACGTACTCGAACTATACTTCAGCACCAGACGACTGGACCAGGCGATACCTGCCTAAGTTCACAGAGCCGCTTCGAAGACGCCATCTCGACGACCGCGACGACAGCGTGTACTGGGTGGCCCCGTCAACAAACACGGAATTGGTGCTGGACCCTCAGTCTCGGGACTACGTCATGGATACAGTTGCTTTCTTCCTGAAAGAAATTCCAAATAGCCTCACATCTGACTCACCCTCCTCAATAAAAAGAATGATCAGCCTTACTCAGGAACAATACGTCCTGAAAAGTCCGTTGAGCGCCTGGATACTGCTCAACGGGCTCAAGACCGCCATGTGGAATATGGCAGAGACCTTAGACGGTCTCATACAGAGCAAAGAGCACGACGATAATATTGAAGGGCAACTCTTTGGGGGAGAAATGTTGACAGAGGAAGTTTACTTCCACGTACGTTGGGCCTGGATGACAGTCATTGCCCTTGAGACACTATGCGTCACACTTCTCCTCACATTTACCGTGATTTCAACACGAAAGGACAGCCTCGTCAAGGACTCGAGCTTCGCCTTGCTGGTGCATAATCTGAGTGGGTGGGATAAGGTGTGCGTGCCTGAGCTTGAGAACACGGGAGCTCTGGATAGATTGGCAAAGACCATGACAGCAAAGCTAGAGGTGGACGAGGACGAGATACTCAAGTTCCGACCACAGGATGGAGGTCAAAAGGACATTCTTTTCCAGTAAAAGTGAAAATTGTAACACTCATTTTTAGGCTCCTTTCTTCTTTGCAGGCTGAGGTGTTCGATGAATAATTCCTCCTGTCGTCATGAGTTTGCCGCGGGCAATTTGGCCCTTATCCCAGATAGGAGGGTTGCCACCATCAAGCGCGTATGAATTCTGTTCACTGACTTACTAGAAGAGCCCGTTTCGGTCTCTGACAGCTGGCATGCAGTTAAGGGGCGGTACAGCAAATCGCACCCCTCCCCCCTCCCCATTTGATGCCTGTGGGGGCCTGGTCAAACACGACATGTGGTCCAAGGCAAGAAGTAACATTATAGTATCATGCTCAAATCATGATAAAGGGCGATTAAAATCACAAGGCACAAAGGACGATGGACGGAGGCGAAGCGGGAAGAGCGAGTGCCAGAAATTCTACGAGGGAAGAGATATGTGATGAATAGTCCTCCAGGAAGTCCTATGCTGTGTGACGCCGAACGACGGACCAAACCTCCGGAATCACAGCTTGCGCCCGTCAGATGGACCAGGGGTTTGTTCTGGGCCCAGGGTTTGTGAAAATGTCAGCTGAAGAGGTTAGATTTCCGCCGGGCAGCAGATCAAAAGTCATGCACTACAGTCAAAGCAGCGGTACGGCTAAGTCACCCTTGAGGCCCCTCTGACCCTTCCTATACCCCACCTAACTGTTTCTGGCATACACAGCGGGCGTTTTGGTCGACATCGTGGGGTCAGGCGAGTAAAGCTTATCTGAGATTGACTTCCGCTCGGCCTGATCCGGCTTCGCGATCGTGTCTATTGAATGCCAGCCGAGACAGCCTATGGTTGGTGGAGGATTGGCTGCTGCGTGTGAACTGCCAATCGGCCGCGAAGACGAGTCCACAAGAAGCCACATGCACCTCTGCCCTACGTCCGGGTGATTGCGTTCTTCAACTGTGCCTCGCGGTTGTGGGAGGCCAATATGCAGGGAAAGGGCACAGCAGTGCCGAAGAGGAAGGTCGCTTGCTTGATGAACCTCGCCAAGCGGTGAAATCTTAATCGCACCGCGCGCAGTGATAAATCTGAAGGATCGTGGCTTCAATCTTTCCACTGGGGGCATCTACATGGGTATCCCAGGATTGAATCATACACGAAATCTGTATGATAACCTCGCCATGCTCGAGTTCTAGTATGTAGGATATCGATGGCCCGAGATGCTCTAGGCCGCAGAGCTGCAGAACGATGGATGAGTGTTGTATTGACAGGGCGTCTCTAGCAACAATCAATTCTAGTGAAGACGAATGGTAAGGCTGACAAGAAATGATCTCATTGGATGTGTCTCTGTTATTAAGTGAGCTGTCCACTCCCGTCTTCAAATCCCATCAAGAGACTGGCGGCGAGCCTGCAGCGGGCGTACTAAGCGCTAACAATCCATGCCAGCCTAACAGCTGACTTTCGAAGATTTCGCACCTCAGACTCACATCAAGATACCACAGGCCAATCGCACGTCGAGCAAAATCGTGGCAGCCCCAGTTAACCAACAGGATCGTTGAGCCTAGCCCCTGTTGTGCGACATGAACCCAGAAAGAACTCTCAACTAGGCGCGGCGAGGCTTGACAAAAGTTCCAAACTACAAAAGTTCCCAGCCCCATGCCAACATCTGCATCGTGAGCCGAATTACGAACCGAGGACCCATCACGCACTCGACTACCTGCCTGATCGAGCATACCATGATGTCCCAAGTCACCCAAGTTGTAGAAGTGCCTGGCACGAGCGGGTGAAGGTATCGTGAGCTTTCTCAGGCCACCGCTGGCGTGAGTCTCGAACACGTTCTGGAAGGGGTTCTGGAAACTATAAAAAGACGCATTTTCGCATCTTGTAAATCACATCTCGCCTCTCATCCCATTCAATTCGATTCCACATTCGCAAAGGTATGTACTCTTCTCTCTGCTGACGGTGTTGCCTTCTTAACCAGCTATCAGATGGTCTCTCTCTCCTACTTCAAGAAGCTCGGCGGGCTAAGCTCACTCGTCGTTCTTCTCGCTGCCTCCGCCGCCGCCAAAGACGTGGCAGTAGTCGATGTCGTCGATGATACCGCGTGCATTGAGAAACTCCTCGACAATCACGACTGGGAAGCCGAGAACTCGACTCTTGCCTGCGGCTCGACTTTCTCTCTTGTCGAGGGACCAGCCATTGTAGCTCGCCAGGCCCACGGCACCTGCCAGGCTCAGACGTATACCTACCGCGAGCACCGCGTCGTCGCGTCGGGCACATGGTGGGGACCTTGGATCAAGTCCTCGGGCTGCCTCTACTGTGAATTATCGAGCGGAGAATGCATCAAGGAGTTCAACTGGGGCCGCACCCAGACCACGTCCTTCTCGATCGGCTTCGGAATGGACTCGGTCCCCGATGTTAAGAGAGCTATCAATGCTGCGCCCAACCTCAATTTCGGCTACTCTTGGTCTGAGTCCAAGTCCATCGGCGGCGCTACCCGGTGCACCGTGCCAGCGAGAAGCAAGGGCAGTTACTGGACACAGATGCTCATGGGCTGGTCCGACAGTCAGAGCAGAACTGTCAGGAAGAAGATCACTAAGCTGTGCACGGCCACTTTTGAGTACGATGGCTGGGGCGGCTCTGGACACGCTGACTGGCCTATCACCAATGGTCACACGGTCAACGAGGGATGCAGTACCGGCGCGGCCGCCGAGTGCCCCTAGTCCACCACATGCAGTTGTCAGCGGCTACTCCAACATGCAAACGACAACTCTCAGTTTTGCGAGAGAGATTGTTTCTCAAGCTCGGTATTCCTAGCAGACTAGACATCTTGGAAGACAATACACAGTGCCGGACTTTGGATGTAGATAGAACGTTTGTTATTACATTAGGTCATGTTTGAGTCGCTGCTCCTTCAGCTAGGGGAGCACTCACAACAATTGAGAATTAAGACTTGCTGTAATAAACATAGCATCGGTATTTCATTACCTTGACGTGTATTGTTTTGTTTAAGTGCCTTGCTCCGAACTTGACCGGGTCACATGATCCAAAGCGCATGTCCCAGGAGCACTATGGTTGTTTGTAAGCTTTTTTGGATATTATTTTAACACAGAAGCCATCGCTTTCGAAACTTGAGATACTGATGCATTGCGAGGAAGTGCTGTTGCCAGGTCCAATCAATGCGGTGCAATTAATTACATGGGTGTACTGTGTGTTATCATTGGTGAACGCTGAAGCTCGTGAGCCAAGACTGCTTGCAAACAGACATACAGAGACCGACACACTGACTGCAAAAACGCAACAAAGTCCAACTTACCAGCGGCGAGGCCTGACAACCAGGACGAAAATCATGCCGCCGCAACTAAGTCGCCTCTGCTAATAAATTAACTCAAGTTGGCTTCAAAAAGTCGTGGCACTTAATCTTTAACACAGGACGTAAGTCCTAAAGTTTTAAGTAAAGTAAAAAGGTGCTTGGGATTTCAAGTAATCACGACATAGATTTCTTGTTGTCATAGCCGCCTGTCTAGGATATGAAGGCTCAGATTTATCTTTATGAAACGCGATAGTAAGGAAAATTTCGGTCATGGTGGTAGATTGGCCTCAAGATGAATGGTGATCGAGCCACCCTGATACAGTGCCTACCTTACTTACTTTGAATGAACCATATTCAACCCCATGTGAGCCGCCCCGCACCGCTCAGAGCTGTAGTGTGGCTGAGGAGCTTCTGCGGCGTCGAATGCAGCGAGTAGAGGATACCTCAAGACAAACGTTCCTATGAAGCAATCGGTCGTCTGATGGAAATTTGCATGTCTGTGTTTAACAGAAATAGCTGATATCCAATGTGTTCATCTACAGCACGTAACAAAGAAAGAGCCGCGACTAGGTCTGGGATGAAGGTTGTGCCCCCAGAATTGCAAGGTCCACAAGTCTTCCGATTGTGATATTTCCCATCATCGATACGGTTTAGCGGCGGGCTATCGTCGGCTCTCAATCGAATTTATGAATCAACCCAGTTATTCTCGGGGGAGGGCAGGTAGGGCAGTCATGTCTGTGTCAGAACCCGATTAACTGTATTTCTTGGGTGCCATTTATCCAGGTGCCAGTAATAAAAGCCCGGAGACTTCCAGCCTTTTGCGTCAGATAGCATTACTCCAAAACGTGGAACATCAAGATCGCATCACCAATATGCACGTCAAACACATTGCCACCTCTACTGTGGCCCTCGTGCCATGGGATCCACTCTCCCCTGAACACATCGACCGTCTCACCCAGCAGCGCATTGACTGTGGTTGGCATATTGACAAACCCTCCGGGGCATGGAAGGAGGCCCAACAGGGAGGGATCAAATGTATTTACTGGCTGGTAAGTACCCGACAATTGCTGATTAGGCACATGCAGTCCATATTTTCACCTGCTAAACAGCCACAGGTTCTACAATCTCATGACCCACAAGCAGGGGAGATGATCCAGCTGCACAAGTCGGCCCATCCAAAAGTAAGGGTAATCGGTTTGGCTCAAACGAGACGATGAGGACTGACAAGTAGATGTAGCAAAGCGATCCTCTTTTAGACACCTGTACTACGCTCCGGGGCCTCACTCTACAGCCGTCAGGAAACGAGTTCTTCCCGATCGGCCATATTGCATTGGATATTTCATATCATGAAGCCGATGGTTTCAACCTTGACTTGCCTGAGGACTCAACACTATGGATCAAAAGTCTTTTCATTTCAAAGGCTCTGCGGTCCAGCGGCATCGGTAGAGCAGCCATGGATAAACTAGAAGGCATGGCTACGTCACCGCCGCTATCTGCCACAACGCTCATGCTGGACACTCTGCTCAAAGACGATCAGATCAAATTTCAAAATCCAAAGGTGAGTAAGGGTTTTGCGGATGATTCTCAACCGCTTGGGAAGCATGCTGACTTCTGAGTATTAGGTTGCCAACCAGGATTGGTATGCAAGGAGAGGGTATCGCCTCGTACATACTGAGCCAGGATTTTATGAAGATGAGAAACAGTTCCAGGGTGCTATTCCTCGTACTGTGTTCATGCGCAAAGACCTGTAATACGTAGATAGGCATGGTAGCGGCAATTGCAAAAGCAATAACTCCACTTACAAGGACAGATATCATTAAGATCCTTCGATAAAACATTCATCACTCTGAACTCGCTTTTTTCAGAGCGTGTGGGCCAGGAGAGTGAGAAGGGCATCCACAGGTAATATCAGCAGCTAATTTTAGGTAGAGGGTATGGGTTATATGAGCTCTGGCCGTCCGCAGCTATGAGGCCCCTCCGCAGCCTATCTCTACGTCATCTCTTAGTTCCTTTAAGTATTCCTTTGTCTTTGGTCTCTTGGCACTTTTTCTGTGCAGCTAGCTTCGGTGGTGAACGGAACTATGCCACCAAATGAACACCTTTTCCGTCTCCGAAAGAACTTTCGGTCGAATCCATATTGGTTTACTTCAGGAAGTAGCGCCAACAAGCAGTGGCTAATGCTGCTTGTCAGTACTCTTCGGTCCGTGTCAGGGCATCTCTATCATACATATATGTTCTTTATTGTGCGGTTACTATAGACCGACTTATGGGAAATGATACTCAGGTTCATCTCAAAGAGCTTGAACATTTGTCAGGTCGAGTTTTGCCTATTCTATGCCCGATCGATTTGCAATCACTTGTAGCTAATCCGATGAACGTATCGATTGAGGCTGTCAAGCTAACGCTTGCAGGTCCCTTGCGATTTTGCCAGATGACTAGTGGTTGGTCAATGTATTACTGGTACCTCTCCTGAACACGCCCATCAGTCGAGCAAACGCGGCACGCCAGGGCGCGCCAAAGGATACAGATGCCACGAGAGTACAAAGTGTATGGAAGACTTCATAGGTGTAGATTTCAGAAGCGCGGCTACGTCGCATTTATCGATTGATTGCGGCAATAACTTTGCGAACATTTCTTTCGCCGTGTTGCATTTGGGGACTAGCAGTCGTGTGTGACAGACGATAGCAGCTGTCAATACCAGTGGATCGCTTTTGCGGCGTGGTCTCGCAGCGGGTCAGCGGTGAATGCTTGCTACCTTTGGAACAATGCGGCTGGGTGGGCATATTTGATGGCCAGGCACCCATGTCCTAGATTGCGACTCAGCGAAGAGATGGCTCTGCTTTTGCCGACGAACTATTGATAGCGTCGCGAGGGGATTGCGGGGGCCATCAGAAATACCGGGCCTTGCCCCAGCTGCCGGAATCCGTGCATCTGCTGAGGGCGGCGGGCTTCTTTGATCGTTCGACATGAGTTATTGCGTGTACATCTTGTGTCTCTGCGTCGTGACCACGACGTGCGACGTGATCAGGAAATGTCGCGAAACTGTCGGGAGGAAGCAAGTCCGTCGAACACACAGGCGAGTGCCTATCATCACATGTCAGACACACTTCATGGATCCTGTCTGCCAGTTCAGGGCGGGGGAGCCAGTAATCTGTGTGAAACGAGCGTTTAACCAACATAAGCGTAACCGCCAGCCTCTCCTGATCTTTCGGAGCTGATACATGAACTGGGAAAGAGTTGACCTGCCCGTTCAGACTTGAATGTGCTTTCTCCGCAATATGTCTTTCTGAGGCGACCAGCATGACAGAAATGGCACGATACAAAAGCATGTGCAAGTCTAGGTTGCCGTCATCAATGTCCAACCAGTCTCAGGTCTAGCCCGATCGGTCTGATCTCCGATGCAGCAACTCGGGCGCCCGGCACGCTTAACAGTAGCTACCCCGTCTACAGTAACACTCCCCGCAGCCACCACGGACATAACAACTTGAAGGAGAACGGCAGAGCTGGTGTTGAACATGCACGTGCCGTAAGCCATGGCGCCTGAGCGTTCAGCTTGCGTAGCATTTACTCTTCGAATCCACGACAGGATGTCGGCTAGACGCCGTAGAAGCTCTCCTTGGCGATCTGGAACTCTTTGGCAGGAGAGGTTAATGCGGGATGCTAGGGGAGTCATTGGCTGGCGATCATCAGTCGAGTTCCCTGGTCGCTGAGGGGGGCCAGCATGGAGCTTGCCGGAATTGAGTGTCGATCAGTATGCCAGCACCTGGGAATAAACATCATGCACGTGGGCTGCGTGGTTCATTTGAAAGGGCAGGTGTTCTCCGGATGCCCGTTGTCATGCTTTTGGTCAGAGGTTAAATAGAAGCTTTGCGACCCTCTCCTTGCAAAGTTGAAGCCAAGGACGAAGCCATCACCCTCACAACGATCCACTCGCCAAGGAGTTAGCTGCCCCCGGTGCACCCACAAGTCCCCGCAAACAACCCGCTTGATAGCTCAACATGCGTGTCTATGCGACGTCTCTCGCCGTTCTGGCGCAGCTCGCGGCCATTGCACAGGGTGTGCGCATCATTCAGGGCAACGATGATGGCTGGGCCGAACTATACGCCCGTTCTGCCAATGCCGCTTTCAAGGCGGCCGGCCACCAGGTCATTCTCTCTGCGCCCGCTGAGAACAAATCTGGCAGTGGTTCGTCACGCCCTTCGTCGTCTGTCGTGTAACCCCAAAGCTGACCACCATCAACCCCAGGCTCCAACGACGAGGAACCAAAGCCACGCACTGAGCCCTGCCAATACAACTCGTGCCCCGCCAACAGCGGCCCTCTTGGCGTCAACGCCACCTCGCCCGATCTGCACTGGGTCAACTCGTTCCCTGTGACGGCTCTCCGCTACGGCATTGACAACTTTGTCAAGCAGTCCTGGCCTCAGGGCGCCGACCTCGCTGTTACTGGCCCCAACGTTGGCTCCAACATATGGGTTCAGGTCCCCTTCTCGGGCACCGTCGGCGGCGCCGTCTTCGCCGCCAAGGACCGCAAGCTCCCTTCCATTGCCTTCTCCGGCTCCAGCAGCGGCACGCTCGCTTGGAACACGCAGCCCGTGCCCACACGTAGCACCGTCTACGCCGAGCTCGCGACGCGCCTCGTCAACGCCGTCGTCGCCGGCGCAAGCCCTACCTCCCTCGAAGAACGTCAACTTCCAGAACATCGACAAACATCGACAACCGCTGCAAGTCAAATTCGTCCTGACGAGGCTCAAACCCCGGCATCTTCTCCGCCCAGGACGCCCTCAGCTTGCGGCAGCACCAGGCTGCCCACCGAGACGAGCGTCATTCTGAGGACTGATGCCTGCTACGCTACCGTCAGCATTGGTGACGCTGCCGACAAGACGACTGCTTCGGCTGCGCAGCAGGCGCCTGTCATTGCCAGGCTCTCCAAGCTCACTACCTGCCTGCCTTAGGTGTCTGTGCGTCGCTTTTTAGTAATAGCGCCTAGCTTCATTGTAGACTGACTGCTCTCAATCAAGACGAGTTGACGATTCTCATACCCGTGAAATACATTTCCAGTGTGAGATACCCCTATCGGAATGGGGGATCGGGTCCCCGTCCAGCAGACTGATCAGTGCTGGTGATTGAAGTCTGGCGTTCAACCCCGCTCGATACTCCTTGGTCATGACTGCCCGTCTTTCGTGTTACGTTGTCGGGCAGCCATGAGACATGTGCCAAGGCAGCCTCCGGCCAGGCTGCCTTTGCGTACCACTGTTTATCCCCCCGTGATGATTGGTCATCCAGCCTCAGCCTGCTCTAGCATTAATAGAATGGCGATCTAGGCCCATGTAGAACAATCAGGTTGTAGCCGGTTAGCTAATACGACCTACCACTGGATGTCAGTGTGGTGTCTCTTTCGTGCGACGGCATAATACAGCCCCTAAGAGGCGGCAAGTATAAGACTGGATGGGCCTCTTGTGTCGCCAATTTGGAATTTCTCATTTTCTTCTTGTCAACAGTTGCCCTGCCCACAATTCTTCAACAAACTGACAAGTACTTGCCAGCAAGTTCGTTGTAGGGGAGCAAACCTTGAATTATGAATGCAGCAGGTTGACTCCAGTGAAAGATTGTTGCGCCATACAAAGTACCTAGTGACAGTCTTTTAGCGGCCAAGATGGCCGAGGTCCTTGGGCTCTCCGCAAGCATCATTGCCATCGTCGACCTCTCGGCAAAGCTCGCCAGTCACTGCAAATTTTACGTCGAAAACGTGAAAGATGCGCGTGCAGACTTTCGCAAGCTTCTCATCGAGATCACGTCTGTCGTAAACGCTGTAGACATTTTGAAATTTCTCATCGAACATGACCCCGATTTCGAATCTGACCAGCTGTTGAGTCTGTCGGGACAGTCAGGCTCCATCGCCGGATGTCTCGATGCTCTGACACAACTCGAGGCTATGCTGCCTCCGTCGGAAGATATCGATTCCGGCAATTCGTGTCCCTCAACGAAATCGAGAATGAAGAATATCGCGACCCGTCTCGCATGGCCCTTGAAGAAGACTCGCGCCATGGGCCTTCTGGATGATATTATGAAGCATAAGGCTACGATGCAACTCGCTATGATAGGAGATATCTCGTACGTCGCATGTGCCAAGTCGCGCAACTATGAACTCAACACCTGACTGTAACACAGTAAGGATGTCAAGGAGATCGAAACAACAGTGGGAAATATTCAGAAGAAATTAACCAGTAAGTTCATCAGTTCGGCATCGATAGTCACGACATTACGGGCCAATAGATTAACAAACATCCAGATGATGAGCGATACCGCTTATTGGATTGGCTCACGATTGTCAACCCGTCTAGCTTACACTATGAAGCAACTGCTTTGTACGAGGAGGGCACAGGTGACTGGGTTTCCCGAGATCTTGCGTGGCAAAAGTGGGTAGATCCGGAGGCAGTAAAGCCAAAATGTCTGTGGCTCAAGGGAATACCTGGTGCCGGCAAGACCGTTTTGGCCTCTCACCTGTTCCACAGTCTGGAACTGATGCACCAAGATTGGCCAGCACTGCGATACGGCATAGCTACCACTTCGAACAGAAAGCGACAGCACGGTAACTCTCTTTCAATCGCCCATATATACTACTACTGTCATCATACTCGCAATCACGATGAATCGTTACCGTTCTTGCGTTGGATTGTCAACGAGATGTGCCGGCAATCTGAAGTGGTTCCGCAACAGCTTATCGACATCCATCGCTCCGGCCGCCAGCCCAGTATTCAACAATTGCTAAACAGTTTGGTTTTCATGATCAACATGTGGGACTCCGTTTACATCATGATCGACGCTTTAGATGAAAGCAAACCACGGACCGAACTTCTGAAACTGTTGCACAAGCTTGGCACGGAACATAGATTTCAAAATCTAAAGATCCTTGCAACCAGTCGAATCTACCCGGATATTAAGGATAACATGGAACCTATCGCGACATCAATCGACATGTCTAATCCTTTTGTGGAAGATGACATTAGGAAATTTACATTCAACGACTTGGAAAGACGCCGCACGACGGATTTCAAGTACCTCAATCAGGCTTTCATGAATGAAGCAGCCGGCATAATATCCGTCAAAGCGGAAGGCATGTAAGTACATTGGCCATGGACTTCGCCAGTTCGGCCTTGTGCTTCAACTCCTCCAACTCCCATGTCCGTCGCTAATGGACCGGACAGGTTCCGTTGGGCGGTCTGCCAGATAGACACCCTTCGGCGAATTCAGTCCAAAGGAGAATCCTTTCTTCGCCAAGCTCTGCTCACAATGCCTAAGGGCTTGGACGCAGCCTACGATAGAATATTTCAACTGATTACGGAGGAGATTGATGAAGACGATCTTATTGTCAGGGATGCGCTCTCCTGGATTCGCCATCACAAGACTTTGCTAAGTGATTCTGATGATATTCCTGTCAGGGTGCTCATCCAAGCAATACACCCGGAGACACGAGATCCTCAAACCAGCGATGTTCAATTTCTTCTGGAGGAACAAAATCTCCGCAACGCCCTCGGTTGCCTGGTTCGGTTCCGAGAAGAAATTCCGTTTTTCATCAGTTGTCCGGAGTATTGGTCGAACACTACGGCATTGAGTACATCGTTGACGACAGTTGGTCTCGCGCACTACACTGTTGCCGAATACCTCACTTCAGACCGGATTAAAAGCACCACGTCACGACGATTCAGACCTCTCGACTTGAATGCACTCATAGAGCCAGCAATGAGCGAAGCTCTGAGATGTACAACCGACATGTCGTCTTATGCATGGCAGCCAGTTCATACCAGTTTTGTAGGTTATCAGATGGCCTGGTGTTTCCGTCTTTTAACACAGAGAAGTATACTGCTTGAGGATCAGAATCTCTTACGGTTATTCTTTGAGGCCCAGGGAGTGCCTCGAAGCAACATACAATTATTCCTCAAGGCAGAATGCGACCATCCATCCAATGGGGGCGTTTTAAAACGAAGACACCCGTGGACCATGCTAATAGCTGAGTCGGACAGGGGCTGGGAACTATTGAGGGCCACACAAAATCTAATGGGGTTATTCGAATTTGGCTTTTACGACCTTGCCAAAGACCTTATTCTCCGTCACTCTGTGTCGGAGCAGATAGGAATGTTAACCACGACGACGCGCTGGCAATGTGCTTTTGATATCTTTAGTATGGACACGAGAGAATTTGTCTCATGGGAGTTCGAGGGAGCCCTGCCTCAATGGATCGCGACCGGGCTCGGCGCGGAGCGTGACGACACTGCCTATTGGCGAGCCAGATCTTTTGAAAGCCTTTGCCGAGACTTTGGATCTCTGTTTCTTCGTCAGATCCCGGGCCTACTTTTGAACGTCATCGCATCGCATGGTCTCGTAGACGCATTATGCTGTCTCCACCATCGGGACCCAAAACTCTCGACGACGACAAGGGGTCGATGTATCATTCCGATGCTTCTTGATAACGGAGCCCAGACCGACCCCCCAGGATTTGGTATCACACCTTTACAGGTCGCCGTGTCGCAGAACGACCGCCGCGCCACGAAATATCTCTTGGAAGCAGGTGCGGATGTCAACGCTTCAGGAGTGCAAGACGGGCATCTCTATGGTCCAAGAGAACATCTAAGCCGGTTCAACTCGCTTCAGGGGATAAGTCCGCTGTACATTCACGAAAGGCTGAGGAACCGGTGTGGTAATCCGTGGGATGCCCCGCCGAATAAATTTGTGCGGTCCAAAGACATTGGCCGGTACCTGAGAGAACGTGGAGCCCGCGCAGAGAGGACAAGCCAACCGGGAAGCGTCCAAGGTTGTGGAATTTACCATTGGGACAACCGGTCGGATGACGAGGTATCTGTAGACGAGGTTGATTTCAGCAGCGACACTGATCTGGACTCGGATTCTGAAGAAATGCTAGGTCAAGGTATCCTGCTCGCAGATCCTGAGTAAATTTTAGGCCGAGAAATCTCTTTTAAGAACAAGTCATTATCTATCATGCAATTTTTTACCCAGCCGTCGCTATGCTCCATTCCAAGAAACCACCAAGTGCGAAACGCAGCCCCAAACCAAAACACCTCACGTATCTCTCGAGTACAGCGACGCCTTCCTCCACGTGGCGCCATAGCGCATGATGAAGATGGGAATAGGCGCCAAGCACAGGCTGACGGCGCCGAGAATGGTGAAGCCCCAGCCGTACCCAAAGTGGGCGCGCAGCGGGCCGGTCGACAGCGGCAAGAAGGTGCCCATGAGGCAGCGCGTGACGATGACGCCGGTCATGGCCGAGGCCGAGTACAGGCCAAAGGCGTCGACGACGTAGGCCGACACGGGCACCATGGCCAGCAGCAGCGAGCCGTCGAGCAGGGCGGCGGCGAGGAGGAGCAGGGGCACGGGGAGGCGCAGCTCGGCGGCCCAGCCGTAGGCCATGACGGCGAGGGGCAGAGCGAAGGCGCCGACGATGGTGAGGGGCAGGCGGTGCTCGGGCTTGCCGCCCTCGGGGTCGTGGGCGCGGAGGTGGATGTAGATGCGGTCGAGGCCGAAGTTGCAGATGGCGATGGCCACGAAGGAGCCGATGCTGAAGGTGATGAAGGCCGAGCCGGTGAGGGCCGGCGAGAAGCCGTAGATGTCCTGCAGAATGTCGGGCAGCGTGATGGACATGACGTAGAAGTAGCTGAAGGAGATGGAGCCGAAGAGGGAGAGGGCGAGGAGCACGCCCGAGCTGAAGAGGACCGACATGGGCCGCGTCACCGAGTGCCAGAGCTTCCGGAGGCTGCCGTGGTCGCTCGACTCCTTGGGCTCCTGGTCCAGCTGGTGCTGCCGGTACAGCTCTGGCGCGCGCTTGCGAGGATGACCATCTTGTACGTCTCGCGGAAGCGGGTCAGGAAGAGGATCTCGCAGGCGACGGCGAGACCGGCGCTCATCCAGAGGACCTGGCGCCAGCCGAGGCGTCTGGGCCGACGGCCCCCCTGATGGGGGGACCAACGGCGCCGCC